CTGTTGTTGGTTATCTGTGGGCTGTTTATCTGCCAGCCTTTATCTCCCAAGGACTGCAGGACTCGGCTGCTTCACGTCGAGCCATCTAGCATTGCTGTTTCCACATCCACCCAGAAACATTTGCTGCTTCCACCGACCCTCGGGGCCCTGGGGATACTTCTAAGGGGTCCACAAAAGGAAGATATTATGGTATTATCTGCATGGCTCTGAAAAATTGCACCTTATCCACAAACCAAATATCCAGGATGATACCTCCCAGCACCAGCAAGACCCCAAAAGTGGTGAAACTCCCCTGACTTCTGTGGCATGAGGGAAAGCCCCAACTTGTACATAACCCATGGACCCATCTCCTGTCCCCAGCCACGTGGGAAGCCCCTTCCAATCCTCGCTGCTGCTATTGCAGGCACCACATTCATGAAAGTCTCTCCTCCTCCACCTGCCCAAATGAAAAACACCCCACAGCCCCCCTCCTCCCCTCCTCACACCCAGAAGGATTCAGCATCAGCAGCTTCCCTCTATTTTTCTGGTCAGTACTGCCCTTATGGATTTTCTCCTCGTGTCCAAGGTCAGCTGCTTGATTTAGCGATTTCTCCAACCCCAAGCTCATGCAATGCGTTCAGCTGCTGCCAGAGCTCTCGCAGACCTTGGGGACCCCCACGCAAAAGGCAAGTCAGAGCCTAATTTCACAGATGGGGAAACTCGAGATCTCCAAAACAAGCTGTGCAAGGCTGCACGGGCAGGTACGGGACGGATCATGCCGACCGCTGCAAGGTCACTGCCGCTGGCGTTCGGAGCGTGCCTGGAGCGATGGTAGGAGGGTGGGAATTTAACAGAAACCCTCCCTGCAGATATCCACGTTTCCTTCCTTCTTCTCTACATCTCTGCATCCCTGATCTTGAGGAGCTTCCCTGGGAAGTCCTGGGAGATTACTGCTCAGTTACTGATCCAGACTGTGTCTCTAATCCCAAAATGCCATCGGGACTCCCAGGGGGAACAACGAGGCAAACCATTTCCCTAGCATCTTCACAAGCGTCCGAACACAAGCACGCCGATGCTTCGGTCCCACAGCCCCAAACGTTCAGCTCAGCCATATCCCACTTCCCTCGGTGGGAAGACCTTCCGAACGGGCAGGCAAACAAGCCTGGCAAGCTGGAAACAAGCCGTAATGCTGCGGCTTATCAGCCCTTCGGGAGGCCATAAAAGTGCACGGAAAGAAAATTCAGCTGGCTGCTGCTTTGGGAGATATTAAGAGAAAGGAAAAACCCAACAACCCAGAGGGTGTAACATCCTGTTTCTTACCCTGAATGCAGGGCAGGAGCCATTTCGTTACCTTCGTGTAGCTCGCCTGATTCCAAGGACAATCAAGATCATTTCCCTCACATGGTTTTCTGCCAAGTAAATTGAGATTTGGGATTTTGCCTGTCCCAAAAAGGGCAGTTTAATTGCCACCCAGCCAGAAAAGAGTAAGAGAAGAGGGAGGCGAGGAAGCTACCCATCTCCCTGCCCACATGTTGTGGTTAAAAAGGAGCCAGTGTGCGGCTTTGGAAACCGCCGGCTGTTTTCTGAGCTCAGGAACTTTCTTTGCAGATTGAAAACAAACTTCAGGAAACACACAGAAAAGGGGAGGCTGGATTTTCACATGGACAGCGAAAACACTACAGAAATACAAGGTGACCTACTTATTCAGAATCTCCATGAGTTCATATTAAAAAAAAAACAAACCCAAACATTTGTCTTTCATCTCTCTGCCCTCGCGTTGGCAGTGCCATGACCCCGGGCTGGCAGGGTGAAAGCAGCCCCAGGAACGCACCTCTCCCCTGAACGTGCTCGCTCTGCGAACGCTCCCTGCCAGCCGAAGCGGGGAGAAAGCAGCTTTGGTGGTTTTGGCCACTGCAGCAGCATCCCGGGCTGGTGACAGACTGCCTGCGTGATCCCCACACTCCCAAGGGGAAATCTTTGGTTGTGGGCTTGCCAGGCAACAGCTCAGTGGCTTGAGTTGGGCCAGGACGTGCAGGAGAGACAGCGAAGGAAGGAGCAAGGGCACTGTCGTCGTTCCCAGCTGCACACCTCTTGCCTCCTCCTCGTGAGGCTGAGCCATCTCTTTACCCAGTTCCGTTATAAAACACATCAGAAATGATGTAAATAATTCAGGAGAGGAGTCAGTGGCTGCCTGCAGGAGATGCTTAGGGAGGATGCTGGGCTAGCCACGACTCACAGCCAGGGACCGTCATCTCCTTCTGATCCCAAGCACTTCAAGGTGATGCACAGTGGTGCCGGAGCAGCCCTGAAACAGAGCTGAACTGAAGGAGGCAGACCCCAGCAGAGCAGCGATACTGAGCATCCATTTGGCAGGATACATCCATCATTCCCCAAACCAGGTCTCCCACAGTCCCGCACGGTAATATCCCCAATAACCGGCGCTGTAAGGAAGCCTAACGGGGTGGAATAAGTGTCTTTTGGGAACTCTGTCTCCAAAGGTGCTTCCCCCATGTTGCGAGCACAGCACCAGGATTAAAATTTGATTCTTTGTGGCATTAGGCGTAATCCTCCCAAGCTGGGGGATTGCCATACAGCACCTTAAAGGGGGCAAGCAGAAAGTGGGACAGGGAAGGGGGAACACCCCAAGCTCTCCTGCTGCCCCGTCTGCCCCCAGCCACCCCGGGCAGGGGCTCCTGGGGCCACCCCAGCATCTCCGGGACTGCTCAGGAGCACAGAGTCCCCTTCAGACACACACTCTGCCTTGGCACCATCTGTTTCATTTTCTTACGAGCGCAGCAGTTGTCACCGCAATTAGTCAATTAATCATTTTCCAATCAACTAATTGGCTAACCAGTTAAACACGGCTCTGACTAAAGCCTCTGGAGATCGTCCTGGATGTGAACAAGGAGCTTTTGGGGCAGCTTCATCACAAAGCTACCCCATGGCAAACAGCCCAAGGGCATCGGGGAAAGCAAACAGGGGCTTCTGCCCAGGTAGGAATTTCCTCTGCATTTTCTGGAGGAAGGAGACCATCCCCAAGCACTCGGGGCTGCAGCCCCTCACACCCATCCGTACCCTCCCTGCAGGGTGCTAGCTTGCTTGGCACTCACCATCCTCATCCTCTGGCTCTCTCACCACCAGCTTCTCATTTTCTGAGTCCAGATCTTCCTCCTGGAGGAGTTAAAAACAGAGGGGCCGTGAGGAGAAGGTGCTGTGCTAAATAACCAGTGCTCGGTCAGGGCACCAGAGCTCCCAGGGCAGGGAGGCAGAGACCGGAGCTCCTGGGTGCCCCTTCCCTGCCTCCTTCATGGAATAGACCAAAAGGATGCTCGCTAATGAGCCAGCTTCGTTAGTCTGCTTTCCTCTCACTAGTCAGTGGGGGGGATTTGGCCTTGCTTACTGCAATCCCACCCAAAGGCTGCAAACTGCGAGTGCCTCCCCATAATCAAGGGGATATGAAGGTGTTTAAGAAGAACCTGCTATCCCGGTGTCCCCAGGCACAGCCTTGTGCCCCAGCATCCTGCCGGGCTGGTATCCCCCGCCAGCACCCCCCACGCTCCCCACCCTGCCTGGGGACATGCAGGGGACTGAGCCA